CATTCACTAACTCTGATGTGTACTAAAATCACGATAGGCTTAGTTAATTCTGATTTTGAAAATTAATATGAAGTTTTAAAGTATTTTTTATTAGTTTTTGAAACTAATATCAGACAATAACCAGAACACGATATGATTCCATTCCATTATACACAAAAACCAAGCAACTACACCAAAAAAGACAAAACAACAAACACAGCCCTTTCTTGTTTAACTGCATTCTGTTCAATGTTTTAAGCTCTAGAAGGGGAGTCTTTGAGTTAATCAATTAGGACTCTCATTTTGCAAATAAGAGACATGAGGCACAAGTAGGTCAATTACTTATTGAGGTACTTGGAGAGAGAGGCAGTGTCCTCTGCCCATCGCAGCTGGCCGGGTCTTGCAGGAAGAAACACACCAAAAAGAAATGTAGAGGCCAGTTCTACGGCATTCATTTCATGCCCTGGGGCTTGCACCCTTAAAAAGTATTCATTCCAGAACAGAGAAGTACATTTTAAAAAAGAGTAGAGCAGTAGAGTAGTTACACATGTACCAGTGTGCACAGTAAAAAGTAAAATAAAATGCAGCATTGTCAAAGTCCCATGCAAACTAGAACTGTCTTTAATCAAAACTACTTTGTGGTCATTCAATATCACACATCTTTTATGTTGCTTACTGTAAACCTTAGGTAAATCATGACATTTATGCTCTAATTTTATTTACCAAAAATATTTTTTCCTCGTGGGACTTAAAAGTGTACATTCTTAGCTTGGGCACAGTGGCTCATGCCTGTAATCCCAGCACTTTGGGAGACAGAGCTGGGAGGATCACTTGAACACAGAAGTTCAAGACCAGCCTGGGCAACATAGGGAAACCCCATATCTACACACATAAAAAAAAAAATAAATTAGCTGCGTGTGGTGGCATGCACCTGTAGTCCCACGTACTCAGGAGACTAAAGTGGGAGAATCACTGGAGCCCAGGAATTCAAGTCTGCACTGAGTCATGATCTTGCCACTGTATTCCAGCCTGGGTGAAAGAGAGAAACCCTGTCTTTAAAAGAAAAAAAAAAGTGGCTGGGTGTAATGGCTCATGCTGGTTAACCCAGCACTTTGGGAGGCTGAGGTGATTA